GCATCTGTTGGTGTTGTATAGTCCATTCTACCGGGGTTTGGGAGGACTGCTGGTAGCATTTTGTTTTTCCTCGTTGCGGCTTGGGCTGAGGGGTGTTGGGCTTCGACTGGAGCAGGTCGTACAGGGCAGGGAAGCACAACACGTCGTCGAGGTAAGGGATGCAGCACTCATCTCTCAGCGTGTTGAGCATCCCTTCCATGCTCCTTTGAAAAGCTGCTGGGGCGTTCGATAACCCAAAGGGTATTCGGACTCGTAAAGCCCCCATGGGGTTATGAATGCAGTCAGGTACCTTGATCCTTCGGCAATAAAGCCTTGATGGTAGGCTTTCCCCTGATCAAGGAGCGAAAACCAGGCATATCCTCCCAGAGAGTCAGTGAGGTCCTGTATTCGGGGAAGAGGGTGACGGTCCGGCACGGTTTTGTTGTTGAGGAGCCGGTAGTCAACACACAGGCGTAAGGACCCATCTTTCTTTCTTACACAGATGACAGGAGCTGAATAAGGTGACTGGGACTTCACGACCCACCCTTTAACCAACAGCTCCTGGATGTACTCCTTAACTTCCTTGTCGAGTGGTTTTGGGATGGATGCGTAGGCCCTCTGAACTGGGATGTCATCCTTAGTCCTGATCTCCATCTGTAGGGAGGGGATGCACCCTATGTCCATCGCTGTTACGGGCGAATGCTCCACATTCCTCGTAGAGCACTTCCTTCACCGCCTGTTGTGGTTCAGGGCTGAGGTGACTGATATCAACAGGAGGAAGCCAGGACTCGGGTGGAGAGGTGCTGGGAGAAGCGATGCCATTAACCTCGACTGATGTCATCTTTCTTGGTGTGGAATCAGTCTGATGTGACCCTGGTGCATCGATCTCAAGGACCTTGATGACATGTTGGATGGTTCCCAGAGAGGTTCTCTTCGGCAGGGTGACCTCGTGCTTTGAGTGATTGGATATGGGCACCTTAACATAAGGCCGTCGGGTGTTATTGATTTCCAAGAGGCCTTCTCCTACACTCAACTGTCCTAAGACAGCGCTTTCCTCAGTCGGTTCACATAGAACAACGGGGTCAGAGACATCAAAGTTTGGGGGTACCCTACACCATACATGAGCTGTTCTGCCAGGGGGAATGATAGCATGGTCTTTGCCTAGTCTTATAGTGACTGGATCACAGTATGTCCTTGGGGGCACCTGGATGAAATTCACAATGGCCTCAACCTGTTCCTCCTCTATTACAAATGCACTGCGGAGAAGGCTGATAACCGTTGCAACTGCATCGCGTGAGGACTCCCTTCTTCTGATGATCTCCTCCAGTACATTGGCTCCTAGAAGGGGCTGGGGCAGTGGCAGCTGGCTGACTAGGAAAGGGGCCTGTATGGTGAGATTGGGGATCTCCACACACGAAGCAGTGGTTACACTCCTGTAAATTTTGTTCAGTACATTTCGGACAACAAGCTGTTCTTCCTCTCAACTGGACTGCAGGTTGTCTCAGCTGTGGTTGGACAGGTCGGCTAGGGGTTGGCTGAGAAGCAGGGTGTGACTGGATGTGGGCTGGCATAGTTAGAGGGTAAGACACCTGAGTATTTGTTGTCCACTGATCAATCAAAGAAGCCACCATGTGTGTAAGGGTCTCCACCTGAGCAGTGAGCTGTTGCATTGTCTGGAGATTTTTATTGTCTGATGCTGTATCCTGTGACTTGTCATTGTTGTCTCAACCTTGGCGCTGTGTGCTTGTGTTGTCTTTTGTCAGGAGGGTTGGCCAAGTCTGCGCTGGTGCTCATTCTCATCACTTATTATTTTCATGACTTGGCGAAGGATTTCCTCATCTGTGACTTGGCTGTTTGATATTAGAGGCCTCAGATTCTGCCGGAGGTCAGCATGTTTTGTCCCCAAACCCTGATAAATAGTATGGAGGAACACTTCCTGGATGGTCTTAGGATCATATGTCTGTACTGGTCTGCCGGGACTGGAAAAGGAGTTCCTGCTTGAGTCCAATCATGCGGTAGAGAAACTGCTGTGGTGATTCTTGGTCTGATTGCCTGGTGCACATCAATTCCTGGAACATCTCAGTCATTGCTTTCTCTCCGAGGTGGGACCTGAGGAAGCCTTTGAGTTCAGATACTGTAATTGAGTCTTTGTTTACAAGCATGTCCTTAAAGGCCCCTGGTTTGATGATCCTCAACACCCCTCTGACCACCTCTGCCTCTGCGAAGCCCTCTTTCACTCCCTCGTCGATTTGTTTACTGATATTATTGTAATTTAAATCAGAGTTCTGGTCTCCAACCTGACCACATGTAAGTCTCTGCACTGCAGGTAGGAGAGGTCCTTCAGTACTACTGGTCTCTCCGAGATCATCTGTGACATACCGTATGACTCTGAGTCACTCTGGTGGGGGGTAAGTTGTGGTTGATGGGGTCGCTGGCGATTCACATCGTCGCAGTTTCTCACCCAGCTCTTCATACACTTGTCTCAGTTCTTCTACTGACTGTGTTGATGTATTGGTATGAGTGTTAGGGTGGGGTTGTGTTTGCATAACTGTGCTATTAGGGTGAGAATGAGGCTGTGACGCAGAGTTTGGGATTGTAGTGGATGGACTGTGACTATGTGTAACTTGTGTGTTACCATCACTCAATGCACCCACTGGAAAATTAACAGGAGCATCGGCATTAATTACTTTTCATTTAAAACCAACAACTGACCCATGCCTTCATCCTCAAGTCCTAGTTAGGTGTCAGAATGCATGTAGGAGACGACATACTCCATGCAGCCTTCTTCATCATTCGGATTCAGCTCTTCTTCGTGTTGACTGTCGATTGCAATGTCTTTTGCAACCTGATAGATGTCGTTGCTCAACAGAGTCCGAATAACTGTTTCTTGATGCTCCATACTAATTCTTTGCGAATTGCTGACATGGTGTGTAGTCCTGATGTCACCTTGTAGTTTGTTAGTTCAGTAAATCAGCAGTGTAGTGACTTGGTAAGTTGCGTGTGTGCGTGTTGACCTCCCGATCACAGGTGAGATCCCCTGATGCTGGTGTGCGATGACCACAGGATCAGCGTTTAGCCTTCTGGTAAGTAGCGTGCGCTGGTCTCAGGATCAGTAATGTGGCTCCTAAGCAAGGTGAAGATCCCTTTTCTCTTTGGTCTCCCTCCTCGCACACCCACGGGTTGACTCCTGGCCTGCAACAGCGTCTTGTCACCTTGGTCGCGTGGTTCTAGTATCTCTGGATCTGCTCTTCCGATGGTTGTGATGAGGAGAGATCCCGGATGAGCCCCCACAGTTTGTTACGAGTTTCAAATTGTGTAACTGGAGTAACAAATGATTTTTATTGGGATTCACCGCTCTCAACTCTCCTAGATGAAACCCTGGAAAACAGAATCACGAAGTGAGTGAGTGAAAGAGCGAACCGCCATCTTCGTCTTCAAATCTCAGTCTCTTTATTACAAATTTCCAAATTCATGGTATAAAACAATAAACATTCCCCTAGTGTAAACATGTTTCAGTTTCAGTGTTCATTTGTTAATTTAAATTTAAATCCACTAATACAGTTGCCTGTACTCTCCACACATCAGTGTGTAACATCTTCCACACACACATTCACCAGAAATAATCTCTTTTAACAAAAAATAAATAAACAAAAATAACGTATCACTCTTTCTTTAAAGTGCAATAATTCAAAAGGATACTAGATCTAGGTTTAATCTATTTATATTATTTGTTTTAATCCGAATCCACATCATATTAATGTAATATGAATCATAACCTCTTTGGCTGTAATGTATTTAAATGACTTTAGAGTCAAAAATGAAACCATACCATAGGGATAACTGTTCACTTATGATAACATTTTAAACAAGCAGACACCTAACTGCTTCTGATGACTTTAGGAAGAACTCTTTGTTATACACAAAACCTATCTTCTCTTAGTAAAATCATCATAAAATGTCAGGATATCTTAAAAAAACCTAAAAATGAAACGTTAGCAGGGAGGGGGGACACCAGCACCCAGAATCACAGTCACAGTACACACCTGCTAACTGGCCGCTAGCGGCGTTGTTGAAAAAACCCTGCTTCCCACGGTTATTTAGCTCGGCTCCACACATCAAAAATTCCATAACGGACTCATCACAGTTTCAATACACCACCGTACACTTCAGGAGGAAGCAGTTTTTGTAATATTCACCAAGTACTAACCTGGAAAACAGAATCATGAAGTGAGTGAGTGAAAGAGCGAACCGCCATCTTCGTCTCCAAATCTCAGTCTGAGAGAAGAGGGCGGCGTCTCTCACCTGGGCACCGTGATGCAACGATACCCACACTTTGGTTCCACTTTCTTTTCTTTCCCCCCTACGTTAATATTGTCTTTCACAATAAAAGTTATAAAATTATATTAAACACTGAGCTGGTTATTGTGTTATCACATAAGGGTGTATCACAAATGCATGCTCGCCACCGTCCCAAATGAGGCTGACGACTGTTTCGTCTATAAACGTCAGGAGTCTAACAGACAGGTCTCCTGAGTTACTATCATTTGTATAGGTGTATCATGTAAGTTTGTGGTGTCAGGCTAGAAAGGTGTTCTGTGACTCAATACTCATACATCAGTAATATAGGCCTATGTCTGTTTGAATGCATATGCCTTCAAATTATGCCAGCCAGTCCACCCTTCTGTTGCTCCTCTCTGCATCACTGTAGCCAAACTGGACTGTACAATTACACATCCTGGTGTTTTAGACCAGTTCCCATCACTTATTTGCTTTTAAAATGCTCGTCACATCACCATTTTTCAGCATGCAGTAACACATTATCCCGCTGAATGATCCCAGCATCAAACCGAGCTGTCAACATTTCCCAGAAGAGCTAATGGATGATGCACTTTAAGAGCATCCAGTGGCGGACAGCTCCGCAATTTGCAGCACAGAGCCGCAGAGTGGCTGTGATTGGCTGTGAGCTGCAGGAGGTCACCTGGAGGAAATATAAAACCAGGTCTGATAGGTGTGGAAGTGTTAGTACCTGCTGAGAACACTCACACTGTTCGGACACACACACACAGAGGATGAGGCTTGTGGCTCTGGTCGTGGTGTGCGGGCTGATCGTGGGTCAGGATGGAGGAAGCATGGGAGCAGCTCTGCCGGGACTCGACTCTGCACAGAGGACAGGAGCAACAGGTGGGAAACCTATAAGACGAATTTTAACGATAAATAATGAACATTTTTAGGTACTTTTATTTTAAAGCTAGTTTCTATGCATGTCAGAGGTAAATAGTGTACTTTTTACTCCACTTTGTCTTTAACAGCTATAGTTACTTTGCTGATTACCATTTTACATATAAAACATATGATCAACTTCTGATTTCTTATATTATAGATTTTTAGTAATTCCCCTGATGAATTCTTACATTTAAAAATATCAGTAATAGCATAGAGCCTACAGTTACAGTATTCTTAGGTAGTTTAACTTGATTGAATATTTCCTTTTTATTCCGTTTTCTACTACATTTTAGAGAAATACTGTTGTTTTACTCACTATATTTATTTGACAATTATACTTGCTTTACTGATTGTGATTTTACATACAAAACATAGGATCAACTTGTGAAATCTGTTATTGTATAGATAAAGAAGAAAAAGTCATTTGAACACACCAATAAACACACACATGAATTTTCTTAACTATTGTGATATGGAGGCTGCCATCATAATAAATAAATAAATTAATGATAGATAATAATAATAATATATTATCATATAATAATAAAGACAGAAAGGTAGAAAAAATGCCAAAATGCTAATTGAAAGAATATAAAAACATACACGGAAATAAAAAATAAATAAATGTATTCATTTATTTGACAAATTACTTATTTTTGTACTCAGATATCTATTTTCAAATGTAATTATTTCCCAATGTATTCTTTTCTGTTTACATGTATTTCTGTTCTTATTCATTTCTGCATTTCTTTGTCCATGTGTTAAGGAGGGGTACTGTTCTGTGGGTTTGATTGCTAATGCCTGAATAATCAGGACACACCCCCTCATTAACATATGGGTAAAGAAATACAGAAATAAATGTAAACAGAAAATAAATTTGGATAAATATGAAATAATAAATATTTATTTATCTTTAAATCACTTTGCATGTTTATTTATTAATTTAGGCCTTTATTTCTACATTTCTGTATGTATTATTTTATTTATTGAAGTCACTAATTAATTAATCAATTTATTATAATGAAGGCTTTAGTCCTCTATACTGTAGTAATCTATTTCCAAACATGAATGTCTAGACTTCTCCAAAAAAACAGCGTGCAGTAAGTTAACAGTACACTGTAAAAACCTCTAAATAAGTTTCTAAATAAGTGAGACAATCTTGAAATATAATTGCACTTGTTCCGAGTGCTCTGAAATCATTTTAAGCTCTGACGTTTCAAGAGAAAAACGTCTTATTTCAAGTTTCAGTCTTTTGGCTTGCATTACCATTTATTCTTGACTTTATCTTGAACAAAATATCTCATTTCAAGGTTTAGGTTTTTGTTTACAGGTTTTAGTTCTGTTTGTTTTCATTCTATTGAATACAATAGTGTCTTAGATCAGTAATACAAAACTACAGTCACACAGTACAGTCAACACCCAACAAAATGAACCAGAATGCACAGCAATCATTACACATGTGCACAGACAAAACCTTTGAAATAACTTCATCACTGTCATTGTCAAACGTGAATATCAGGTGATACTTTCACAATGTACATTATTGATAACCAAATAACAAACAGATACTGATCGGAGCACTTGTTGCACATTTAATGACATTATGGAATAAAGCTGCTGTTTTCTTTATATTCTGCAGCAGGCTGCAGGTCTGTATGTGTCCAACTGTGAGCTGATGTTTGCTGCTGTTCTCCTCAGGTTCACTCCTCTCTGCGCTCAGGAGGAGGACTGCAGGAGAGTTTTTTGGGGAGGATTCCAGCCCGTGTTTCTCTCTGAGAGAGAACGAAGAGCAGCGGCAGCTCCTGTGCAACGACCGCAGGAGTAAATTCAACTTCAACCCGTTCGGCCTCCGCTTCGGGAAACGCTACATTTACAGAAGGGCCCTTAAAAGAGCCAGGACGAACAAGTTCTCGCCCCTTTCTCTCTTCTCGCGAGAACTGGAGGTGCCTATCTGATGCCTACTGATTTGTCTTCCTCTGAGGACTTGTGTCCCATTGGTGAAAAGTCAACATGTGACAAGTCTTTCCATGTGTTTAAAATAGGCCTTTTACTTCAGATAAAAGGTTTCGGTGAATTAAACTTTTTGTACCTACCTTTACTGTGAAATGATTTGAACATGGAAGAATACGAGAGAAAAACACACTTAGAGAAGTAAGCAGAATGCTTTAGACAATATCATTTTGTAACATGTTTGCTTTTCTGATCTCAGTTTTTAAGAAATCTAAATGAAACAGTCCAATGGACTTTTATGATGATGGGAAAGGCGCAGTTCATTTCACAATAAAAGCACTGTATGGTTAATAAAAAAGATTAATTGTAATTTTTTGCAACCACAAGATGGCACTGCAGTCCTTTTGAAAATGCACTATATAGATCCTTCAGCAGTACACAAGTACAAATAAAGTATAAAAGTAATACTTAATGATTGAATATTAGTTAAATATGTAAAAAAATAAATAAAAAGGTTTAACTCATAATACAGCATTGTGTGTATACACTGGTCTTAATGACTTTTAGAAGGTCTTTTGTAGTTTTATTCTATCAAAAACCGACATTCACAGGGGGGAGGGAAAGACTGAAAAAATTGTGCTTTGCGTGAAATTCACCCATTAGGGGAATGTGATTAACAATAAAACACGAGTAAAAGGTTTCACGCCCTTTTTAAGAAATCATTTTCCTCTACATTTTCTTGACAATACATACAATACAATACATACAAATTTTTTTAACAATGCAGGGTTCACGATGAATATCATACACTCCACATTAGCTCGCTTTCCTGTTCTCACCCCAACTAAAGTGTTTGTTACAATTGTGCAAAAACAAATTTGATCATTAATAGGCTGTATGAATGTAGATGTGAACATTTACAACATTTCCAGTGAGAATTCTGCTTATGGCTCCGGGAAAAAAATTACTGGGCGTTGAAAAGATAACTGCAAATCCTTTCCACTCCATGTCTAGTGTCTAGTGCTAGACGGACTGACATGGGACTGAAATGAAGAATGAGCTTTTATTTGTTTAACATCTGGTAAACCTAAAGAGTAACACTGCACGACAAATCGTACCAACAGATGAGTTTCCAACAAAATACGCACCCAGGTTTACGTAGGCAATTTGGGCAAGGAGCTAAAATACTATTTAATTTTTCCAGGACAACATAAATTATTTCCAGAATTTGTGTTTAATTAGTTTGTTTTCAGTTCCAGGTTTTTCCATGACTGGAAAACTAGTGGCTATATTTCAAGGTTTTCCATGTTTCCTAGGATGCATGGGAACCCTGGTTAATGTTATGTTACAGTTATTGCTTTTCCCAACAACAGGATGCCATGTTTTACTGAAAATAAATATCTGTCCACTTGATGCTCATATACTCATCACAAAATGTACATTTATTGCTGATAGTCAGTTTGTAAATGGTAATTTACGTAAAATCGTTAAATAGATTCTCTTCTGTTATTTAAACTAGTTTTAAAGGAGTTGTAAACGATGTATTTCATCAGTGTAAGCTAATTTAAAGGGGAACTTGGCAA